TGTGATTAGGACACTTCAAGTTGAATGTAATTTCTTCTTGTTTGTGCATTAATTTAGCACAAATGCTGAGTCCTCAACGAAGCACCATTAACTCCAGTGAAGTGGTCAAATGACGCATAAAGAACCAAGCCCTGTTCAAGGTGCAAGTGTGCATATGCAGAAAGTATCAGCAGCAGTGTGCCCATTTGAAGTTTTGTTAAAACATTGCACACTCACTTTAAACAAGGGCCGTAAAAGCCAATAAAGGAGAAAAATGTTTGCCAAAAGGCCTTTAATTGTTAAGGGAGAATAGAAAGAGAAAGCAAGATGGCATAAAGGACTTTGTGTCTGTCTGTGTGTTGTGTTGAGTCGAGTGAGTTGGGGGGTGTCTTAGAACTACTAGTGCGAAGGAGACTGCTAAGTCTTAGTGGTTGCTTTGTGACGTGTGTGTGTGTGTATGTGTGTAAGTGTAAGAGGAAGATTTACAGCTTTGAACTGCAAGTGTAACAGTGTCTTTGGGACCAAGGGTGAGAGGTCTTATCCTAGCTCTAGAGGTCAGGTCAACAGGGGGCTGTACAAACCCACAGTGCTGTGAAGAACTATTCAGACTTTGCAGACACATTGTCATACGCTTGGAGACATATCTGGCTGAGACCCATCAATATGTCTTTTTGATGAATGATACAGTGCAGATTTTTGAAAATGAAACCGGTGAAACCGATATCTCCGTCTCCATAAAGCTGTGTGTGTGTGTGTCTGCAGCATCAGTACTGGAAAGTCTAAATTACCAGGAATCTTTTTCTTCATTCCTGAAGCTCTTGATTTATATAAACAATAAATAAAAATGAAGCCCTCGAAATGAAAATTGTATTTTACAATGTGACTTGTGACCTTTGAACTCATCCTGGCATGCTAGAAACATAACAAGACAGTTCAATGCGGATGCATCTGCAGTGTTATATATGCCTGGAACATCTTTTGGGTTTTATACAGGGTTGTCTTTTAAAATCATCAGATAATACATTTAATGACTTTTATGTTCTAAAATAAACTAACCATCCTGTTGGTGCAGCAAATACTTAACTGCAAAAAACTGGTTAAAATAATGACAGAGTTTGTGCTGCATCTTATTAATAATTCTCAAATTATTTCTAATTAATTCTAATTAAGCCTATTACTTAACAGTTTAGTTGAAGTAGTGTGAAAGGACATATGTCCTTCACATGGGATTTTTATTCTTCTGTGTCTTGTCTTATCCTCTTGATGCCTGCTTCTTTGTCCTGGTTGTCCATAGGTTTGTTAGCGACATGGACACTTGCTACTTTAACAGCTCATTTGATATCAGCTCAGGCTTTCTCTCTTCTGATGGTGCATAACAGATATTCTATTCAAGGAGGAGTACCGCATCTGTCTTTGTTCTGCTAATTGTTCCTCCTCTGATCTGTATTTCTAAAAGTCATTTGAGAACGTGCAAAAAATAATCTAGAAAAGTGTCTCATTAATTAGGTTTGTTAATCAGAGCTTCACAAGACATTTTTCATTAACCATGTAAAGATGGACATACATCATTTTGGCTTTTTATCTCAATGTGACCTCCAGGAAACCCTAAAGACATTTTTTTGTCTTCAAGGTTGTGGTATATTCTTTCGCACTTTGCCTATATGGGTGTTAAATGAAAATACATAACAGCTGCGTTGCCTGTTGTGAATGATATACTTCCTGTGTTTAACTCAAGTGTGAAAGTATTTGTTACAGTATCAGTCTATGATGTTCTATTGTACGGAAGAGTTGCTAAAAAAATCCTCAATAAATGTGCAGCTAAATTCTGTGCGTGAGTGTTAAAAATGTGGCGTCGCTCCAGATATTTCTCCACTGTATGCTATTTTGTTCCAGTAGTAGAGTCCATCTATTGTCAAGGGGATTTTTGAGGCTTCATCTACACCATTCAGTGTGATTTTACTGCCGTCCATTGGTCCAGTAACTGACTCAACTGGACCTTGTGAGAGTCGTCTGTGTAGCTTAAAAAGGAGCTTTGTTCACATTGTCAATACCAACATTTCTTGCTTTTGTCTCATCCAACATTTCAGAAATCCTAGACGTCTGCATCTGGGACACATGATGTATTAAATTCTATATCAACTATGGCATGACACATTTTATCGTCTACGTGTAGAGCGAAAACAGTTTATTCTGTTTCTTTTGGTGAATATTGCTCTGTAATTAAAATCTAGTGCAGCCTTGGCCACAATGTGTGACACATGTTTATTGTGGTTTATCACCATTGTTCATATATTTTACATATGCCAACCATATGGATGAATCTGCTCTGCAGATGTTCTGCAGTGAAATAGTTTTCAAGCTCTTAGACTTTTTTTTTTAAGTAATACAAGGCCCAGTTTTATTAGACCATAAGTGATTTTTGTTGGCACTGATGTTCACTGGCTGCTCAGGATGTGTTCGCTGAGTTCTTTTTAAAGTAATCTTGCAGTCTTTTAAATCATAGCTCTATACCAGTTCCTGCAAATCTGATTGTCTGGTTCACGTTAAAATGATTAGACTCTCAGCACGAGTGCATAGGAAACTAGGTGATTCTGATGAAGGGCCGGAGCTGTCGTTCATGGGGTCCACAACCTCATCAGCTGTCAATCTTTAGTTCTTGAGCATGATGGACACTCTAGGAGTCAGAGGTTACCTTTGTGTGATGATGACCTTAGCCCACATTTTGACCCAGGTAATGGATTTGTACTTGGATTGTAGAAGGTGTTACATTCATAGGTTTAAATAATGTCCTTTTTATCCACTTGATAAATGGATAATGTCATTTGGAGAGAAAACAAGAAAAAAAAAATCTTTGACCCTTTGATATTGCGAAGCAGGGAAAGATGAGGCCTGTAACTGCTCTCGGGGTCATAGCTCACCTTCAGCAGCAAAGGATCATGTTCCTAAATCACCTCAAGTCAGCCTTAGGACCAAGTGGTTCCTAAATCACCTCAAGTCAGCCTTAGGGATTGATGGACCAAGTGGCCCAGAAGTACCTATGAGATCAGGGTCAAATTTCATGGACATGTATAGGAGTGCTGCCAAGTCTGTGCCTTTGCCTGCATATGGGAAGCCCTTTACTCTTGTGTGTTGAGTGTGAAAGTGCGTTTGTACCCGTGCCAAAGTATTGGGGCTTAGATCTCCATGTGATGTGACTAGTTAATCTCGCTCTAATCTCAGCCAGCGTCATGTCCTCAGCACCTCCTTGTCTTTCTTCTCCAGCTGAGAAAAAAATATTAAAGCAACAAATTACCCAGACCCTGAGCTTCCTTCACCACTCATGATGGCAAGCAGATGGCAGCAGGACCTGGAGAGCCTGCTCACCCACCCTTCATATAAAGCAGCATTTGCATTTCATGAGCCTTAATTGCTTCTGTTGCCGTCCTCCCCACCGGCTCTGCGATTTTGTGCCTGTCACTGTGCACCCATGCAGCCCTGAAGGAGCTGTGATAAATTAAGGTGGACCGTCTGTTTGTATCAGCTTCATTGTGTTCCAGAAATGAGGAAAATATCTGCTTCTGGTTGTGTTCAAAGTCAGGGCGGATAAAGGATATTGGGTGTGAGGTCAAGTCAGGTAAAGCATGAGAAGCGGTTAGTTGAGATTCTGGGCCTTAACACTGTAGAGGCAATGCTGATGTTGATGACCTCCAGACAACCATAAAGCACTGACTGGCAGTGAAATCAAATGGAGTCAAAATGATAATCAATAATTAATACCATTGTTTGATATACAAGGGTGGAGAGTCTGGCCAGACTGCTGCAAGTTTGATTAATATGTCTGCTGTCTTTGGCTGCACATATGTTTCACTTCTACAAATTGTATGTGGAAGCTGTACACGGCGGCCTTCATTTTTAAGTGGTGTTGATATTTTGCGGTTTTCCCTCATATGGTACAGACCATATTCTCAGAAAAGTTAGTAGTATTGTAGTTTTATTTGCTTAGTAATCAAGTAGTGCCCTACTTAAAATGTATTACTAAATGAGTTTAGCAAATACAATCTATATTTGGATTTGCAAACACAATTTGCAATTGAACAATAATTTACACTTCATTTGAGAGGAGGGAACACATACACAGTATGGTCCCATTATTCTCCACAGTGAAACAAAACTAATGAAAAAGATGACATGAGAAACCATCTGATCTGGAATGCAATGAAGTGGCCACAATTTAATCTGAATTTAATCAAATAATTAATCAAAGAAAGGAGACTTATTTGTCAGCTGCCTTTATCTTTAATGATTTGTTATGCCATAAAAACCCCCTTAATGGCCCTGGAGGAGGGTCCTCCGTTAAACTGACTGAGGTGTTATAGAGAGGAGAGGAGTCAAAGAATTACTCCTCTCTATCATACTGATGACAGAGGGCGTCCACCCTCGCAGACGAGAGATGCAGATGAGGCTAAATGATCATATTCAGTAAATGAGCGTTGACTCATTTCAGTAAGAAAAATGGAATGGAGTCAAACCTCGAGGGAGACGATGTGTTTTTGCAGACTGCAATATATATGTTACACCACACAGAGGCGCTGTTAAATCATCTATTCTGGTATGTACGTTTCCGTTGTTTGCATTATTCCACCAGGTGGCAGCATTAAACGATGTTTTAAAAAATGAACTTCAAAAAATATGCAGAGATTTTGTATATAATGTGATTGATTTCCCAACGTTCATAACATTAGGAGAATTATTAGGGAATTATTTTATTTGTTTATTTTGATAAGACTGAGATGATCATAAAGTAACAAAAATGCAGTGCCCTTATTTTACCTTGTGCTTTAACGTCAAGACAGAGATGGGTGCCTGCAAGCTTTTATATTTTTATCACGAGCAATGTGGTGGAAAGTGTTGTTGTTCTAGATCTTTAGCTAAACTTAATCCAAGATTGTATCCTCCCTATTCAATACATGAAGATGAAGAGATTTATTGTACATAATGTATATGTTATTTGTGGTGTTATTGAAAGACACACGACCCCTGACTTGGTGGTAAGAAACATCCTTTAATGATTAAATTCAAAGTAGCTTTGGTAATATATCAAGAGAAGTTTAGTGTTTAGGTGTAAACTTGAACACACGAGTTAGTGACATGGGCAGTTGTCATTAGAGGCTGTCTCTTCTAACTGAACCCAACAGTAATCACTTGAACCTCACAGGCAAACTGACTAGTTAAACTTTAAGCTACGGATGGAAATATATATATATATTTTTATTTTTTTTTCAACACCACATTTACTGTTTCTTTGATTTGGGAGGGAACATGAACTCACAGGGGGTGTGAAGTGGAGGACAGATCCTTGCTTACAGTGTGATCCTATTCCATTTATGTCTGCAGTTATGAGAGGCACTGTTGACTCTGAAACATGAGCATCATGATCTGAATAACTGACATTGAATGCTAAACACTGTGCCTTTGCCCCTGTGTTTGTGTGCGTATGTCCGTGTGTATGTTCATACCACAAGGCAGCATATTTGATCCTCTAGAGCAGGGCTGTCAAACTCATTTTCACTGCGGAGCCGTATCAGCAACACAGTTCCCCTCAAAGGGCTGGTTGTAACTTTAAGACTACATAGCTGTAACTACTCCATAATGTATTAATACATGTTTCTGCAATTGATTATTATTTATTCAAGTTACAAATATTGTACATTGTTTTGTGTAATAAAAAATATCAAGTTATCAAACTCAGCAATATGGACTTTATTATAAGGCAATAATAATTTTTTAAGCTCTCGTGGACCACACAAAATGACTTGTTGGGCCGCATTTGGGCTGCAGGACTTGAGTTTGACACACATGCTCTAGAGTGTGATTGCACATCATCATGCAGACCCGCTTGGCTAGACTGTTAACAGGAGTTTACATGCTGCAATTCAGCTGACAACTAGCAGCTGGCGAATATGCAGAGACTGCCAGTCTTTTTTTAACATTTACTAACAATGCTCTTGTAGCCTCGAGGTTTGCACAGTTTACAGGCAGACAGCGTGACTTCAGTGTTCCACACTATTCAGATTAAATATGTAATGATTTTGCCGTTAAGTGTGAGTCCAGTCCGTTGTAACAGCGGAATACACTGTATTAGATAATGCGAGAGTAGTTTTATTTAGTACATGAGTGTTTCTTTTTTTCAGCTAGATTGTCATCCACATATGTTATGCACAACATTTTCAACAGTGTTTTTATACAGTATAGGAGAAAAACACAGAGATGTCAGTGGGCAGAGACTGCAGCATGTCACACTTCAAGTATGTGAAACAGATGTTTATATCACCACTGCAAAACTCTGTCTTTTTTACACACACATTTAGTCAACAGTAAATGTTTCCTATCATCTTGTATGGCTTTGAATGAGTGGCACAAGGTTAGGTGAGAATTATACGATTTTGTTTTAAGGCCATTATGTCTCAAACAGGTAAAACATCAGGAGATCATTCACCTTCTTGAGACTTTGACAAACGTGGTCACAGGCAAACATAGGCAAATTAACCAAAAGGAAGTTTGTGTGATCAATTTAACTTTGATTAAATAATACTGACATTCCTAATGATCAATTTCATCAGTGCACAGACCAAACTCCACAATTTAGTAATTAAAAGTAGCAGATAAGGAGAGGAAAAAAAAGCCAGGCATTGCAATCTGAAACAGGCTGTGTTCCCTTAAAAAGTAGTCAGACACTGTAAATACAGTTGTACTTGTTCTCTTATTCTCACTTCAAGTTAATGGCAAGCTGTTTGTCTCTAAGCAATAACAAAATAGCTCTATTGTAAATGATTGCTATTAGTAAAAGGAATGATAAATATATAGCACCATCGTTTGATGAAAAAAAGAAATAGAAAAAAAATGAAACCTGCAAATTCACAAATTAGAAAAGGACCAAATCTATACTTCATTGCTACACTCTACCCATGGATGTTACCACTCTTTTTGCTAAGCAAGCCTATCAAATCTTCATCACCCTATAACATGCATTTTGGTTAATATACCTAATAAAATGTTCTTGTACTTTTTCCACTTATTCTTTGGCAGTAACTGAATCAAAATCAGGCACAAAAAGAAAGAAAACAAAAAAATGCAATCCAATTATGTCATCATTACAAACAAACAGACACTGAGGCACTTAATCAGCTTAAACAAAGCTCCTACAAGTATCCATTGACAGAGCAACACAAAAACTATGTACATATATGTAAAAAGTGTTATAAATAGGTTTTAAACCATAGATACTATATACATCTTTTAAATGAGACAGTATTGGTTGTTTTTGTGTTGGTTTGCATGTTGTTGTTTGGAATCCCCCACCTCCCTCCCTTGCTGGGGAATAGCTTTGTTGTTGTTGTTGTTGTTGTTGTTGGCCCGGTGATTCCTGGGCTGTTGGTACTTTGAGACTACAACTTAAGCTTCAAAGGGGAGCTGATGACACTTGCAGCGGGGCGGGGGCCTACAAGGGAACACTTGGGGTGAAGTGACAGCTCATTCTCGCTTCCTCAAGATGACGTAGATGAGTCCGCTGATCAGCGCCAAGGGGAAGGCCACCCACGCCAGGATGTAGGAGTAGCCGAAAGAGTTGTTGTCTGGCACCCACTCGGGACTCATCACTGTGTAGATGATGGCACCGCTCATCACGAACAAACCTGCCAGGGTGAGAAAAAACGTAAGGTGTCGTTCGTGCTCATACAACAATATAGCTGCCCCCATGCTTCACCATGCCACGATCTGTTTGTCAGACCTCTCTTCAACACAGCACCCAGGCTACGTGACATTTTAACTTGTGTGCCTGGCTGCGTGCCCACTGTCATTCCTCTTTGGTTGTGTGGGCACCTGGGAGCCAGTCGAAGCTTGGCACAGTATAGAATGCAAACATGGGGTGTTGGGATAGGCTGCCAATAGGGGACACAATGGACTGGCAGTTGAACTGCTTCCTCGCCAAAGGGCAGTGAGTACAATGGACAATTGAAGCATCAAAACAGTCAGTAACCACCTCAAATTCTTTTCATTAAATTCTCTGCCAGTGAATATGTGAACATTCACTGCTTGTTTGTCTGTTGTGTATGTGTGTCAGTCAATATATGCTTCTATCTAAATTAAACAGATAATAGAAATTGTAAAATTCATAAATTACTCCTTTAGATGAGCTAATCAATTTAATATTATTATAGTCTGTCTGATCCATGCTCATCTGTTGTCGATGAGGCTGTCATTGGGTCGTGAGCATTTGTCTTGTCGATACAACTTACTGGCAAGGATCTGGAAGGTTCCAGTGAGGAAGAAGCGACCGCCCTTCTGCAAAGTGAAGAGCTGGCAGAAGAAGAGGAAGAGAGCCAGGCAGCTGAAGATGATGGATAGGATCATTAGAGCCTGGACCGACTGGATCCATTCTGCGAGAGAGAAAGACGGAGATTAGTGTCAATATCCAGATTGACAAATATTCATTACCATCTAGAATTTTGTTCATAAATATAATATGAACTTATTGAGCATGTCTGCATAGATGGGCCAGAGGAAACCAAGAACAAAAACATGCCCTAAAAGGGTAGCCTTTCATTGGCCTTGCCTCTGCAGAAGTGCGGCATCCTCTCGGAAAGAACATAACAGGCTTGCTCCAGCCATGTTTACTTCTGGGAGTGTGTAATGGATCCATGTGAAATGGAACCTGGGTATCTTGTTCCTAAAAGCTCCGTACACCCCTCACAGCAGGCCATAGGCCTAAATGTATCATATTGATTGAAAGCATACGTCCTGCAAGGCCAGACTGCTAGCAACCATTAACCCATTAGACACCTGCATTGACTTGGAAGACTGTCTTCCATACACGTTATGTCTATCTAAGTGTATGTTTGATATGCCAGGAATCCCAGGATTTCCAGGCAGGGTCGATTTCTTGTCTGAGCATTATATATCCTTCTGATTTTCCCCTCTCAGGTCTTCTAAGTACTTCCTTCCTCCAGCTGTACCTTTCCCACTCTTCTTTTTAGATGTGATTGTAAGGTCATATTATTCTGACAATGAATTTTTTTTTTACCAACGAAGATTTTCTCCAGGTTATTGGGTTTTTTTAGCAGTTTATTGATTGTCTTGCATAATGTAAAATCAAACACTCGTTGTGGTTTTAATGGGTGGAGAGCCACTTAAGGATGTCATATTTAATTCATTGTTGCTTATACATGACAGATAAAACAAATTGATTGAGTAATTGGGGGAATAGTCTGTCCGTGTGTATGAGATGATATAACTCTGACCACATTCTAACACTTTGGCTTTCAAAACTCAACTTCTGCATTACTTTGCAAGATTCAGTATTTGTCAACATTTGCAGTGTTTTTTTTTTTTAACTCTTCTCCTCTTTCACTGAGAAATGCTAAACTGTCTCTACTATAGATTAAAATGGAAACCGGATCTGAAATGGTGGGACTGGAGTCGTATAGTATTACTGGTAAAAACAGCACTACAGTAGCCTCTGTCCTGACTGTTGGTTCAGAGATGTGATATGGGAGGTAATTCAAGCCCGACCTCCAAATCTTTATCCATAAAATACAGCCAGCACCACAATCATAGATAACCCTACAATGGTGCTGTTGTCATATGTTACACAATACTATTAGATAATGCTGTACAAAAACTAGGAGACGTTTTTTCCCCATCCATCTATAAAAAAGACATGGCTGCTTTCTAACAAACAGCCATCGTGTCCTCTGTCTTCCTTTCCTGACTAAGAGCAGGAAACTGTGACGTGGCCCACTTCCTCAAAATTCATCATCACTGATCAGTGACCATGAGTCACCGCCACGATATTAATGTGGTTTCTTCATGGCAATCTAAAGAAACAAACAGATAAACCGGTGTTGCCGTGACTCAGGAAAATCATTTTTATATTTTCAGTCTTTTTGTTTCCTATCTTCAGGCTAGGGCTCCACCCTTAAAAAAGTGTATTAACAGTGTGAAGTAACAGCCAAAGCCAGAGAAGGTAAATTATTAATAAGTTAATAAGACTGTGCTGTTGTGACACTGAGCTCAAATTCTGTGATGATCATGAGACAATCATTCACTCCATATGCTGGCCAATATAGTTAAACTTAGCCAACACAGTACTGAAGGTAGTGATTTGATAGATTTCCTATATATGATCATATCAGATTGACTCCTGACTGTTCAGCAGTGGTTCTGAATACTATGCTGAGCCTCGTGTATGTGAAGCCGCTATCTTTCATCTGCAACAGCCAGAGAGCCATGTAGCAGGGGCCCAGCAAAGCACATGCAGTGTCTTATGTAAACATTGTGCATCAATGCACTAATGAAAGCAAGTCTAACAAACTGGCTGGGCCGTCAGACTACCTGGCAGAGTATGCAGGCGCTGCTGGCCTGACAAAACACACGCAGGCCAAGCGCTGCTCATTCTGGACAAATTACATCATCCCCCTGATGCCAGCAGCTCCTGCACCTCTGTGGCAGCACATTTACTGACAAAACATTGAGCTGGTCTAGAAAAAAAAGGGAGGTCCTATTTAAATGCTTGACTCTTCAGTTTGTTTGGGTTTATATGGAAAATGTGACTATGGCTGCCACTATTACAGCGGCAGCTGTACTCTTAAAATTGTCATAATGATCTTTGCAAACTAACACTGGATTCTATGAACTGACTCTGGGCTTGACCAATCATCAGCATGAGGTGGTCCAAGGTCTCCTCTGCTGTCAAACACACACACACATACAGATCTAAAACTTTAAATACTCCGTGCAACCCCACCCTGATTGTCAACAGCTCTCTGACTCCTGTCACTATGCGCCGCCAAACACGAGACCTGAATATGGACATCGCACCATGACTATTTATACAGTCACAGCCTATCAGCTACCACCTCAGCAGGGCACTGTCGCATTCTCTGCCCTAGATGGCACCAGAGTCCAAAGGAAACTGGGACACACCCACATCATCAGTGTAGTGAATGTTGGGTTTCAGCAAGGCATTTTACACAGTTCCAATCCCATTTCCCATAAATATAAAATATGAATTGTTGTACTTAAGTGCTACCTAGCGTCTCAAAGCAGATAGTGTTCTTTCCTTAGAATCTCAGCAGTTTAAATAAAGGAAAAAGAACGAAACAGTAGAAGAGTAAGACAAGCATCTGACCTCCAGTGGATGCTGCTTTACAGAGTCCAGTGATGGAAGAGCAGTTTATCCAGAGGTCTGCGGTGATGGTTTCCCCTGTTGTCCATGCCTGGTGTGACGACATAAGACTTGTTCAGTAATAATTACAGTCTTACAATTTTTTTTTTATCGATTGATCAATACGGTGATTTTGATGCACAAGTTATTTATTTATACTATCTACATACAAATATAGGTCTATAAAATTCAGTATAGCAAATATAAACTCTTATATAGTTTATACTTAGGTCCATTTTTATAGTTTGGAAATATGTGGTTAAAGTGTAAGTGGTATTTTTTTAAGGAAAATGAAAAAGTGTTTACTCACGCTGACAATAGTGGACACAAACAGGAGAACCAGAGCAGCGACGTGCAGAAAGATGATTCCAATTAGTAGAACCAGCATCTTTACAGGCGATCTGCGCAGTGATGGGAAGAGGAGACAGTGTGTCAGTCACTCAGAATATGGCTGTGAGTGTGTGAGAGTACGTGTGTGGAGCTGTCAAATTGGTGGGACATGGGTGTGTCGCTGCAGCGCGCTGAGTGCACACAGAATTTGGAGAAACTTTACGCGTGCAGTTCCAGTTCAGTCTATACACACGGTCCTATGCCATCATACATAGAGATATGATGGTTTTACTCTTGCATTCTATAGACACAAGTTCATTTTGTGCGTTTTATTTTTCATTCAAAAACGCATAGAATATCGCACTATTCTAGGCGACTTAATACTGAATCCCATCTTTGACGACCTTTACATGTCAAAATAAAAAAATAAAATAAATTGTAGGAAACCAGAATATACGTCTGTATAAAATACATTTTTACTGCCTGTAAATATTAACTCTGAGAGTATATTTCTTGTCTGTGCGCGTAATAGCGGAGCGTCTCGTATCCAAAAGCGCGTTTCCTTTTTTTTATCTGCAGTCGAATGCGAAAGAGTTTGAAACAAGCCAAAGTCCACTTACTTAGAGCTCGGCGTATATTCCCACTAATAAAAATAAAGCTCTGTGGCTCACAAGAAGCAAAAAACAAAGTCTCTCCTAAGAGTCCAACAGCAGTAGTCCCCGCAGTGCAGTGCTCAAAGTTGTTCCCGGACTAGATTGATGCCAGGGCTTACGTTCTGTTTAAAAGTGTCTCATTATGGAAGAACAACGCCCTACGTGCGTCGCTACGTCATGGAGTGACCCTCTGGTCAGCAGCCAGAGTTCCCAATATAGACGCGCCCTGCGTAATGGCGCACGGGTTGCCTTAGTTACAAACTCAGTGCACGTAAAGTGACAGCACTGGTCGTTGTTTGGCTGTCCTAGTAACTAAAAGCAGTGATCTGTTCACCAGGATGTTTTTCTTCTGTCTTACACGTTCATATTTCACCACTAAAGAAAAAATAATAACGCATTTTTAATTGGTTTAGAATGTGTGCATTAATAACAGTTAACAATAAATAAACACCATGTACCTATACATGACCAAAACATATTGTACACACATATATGGCTGAATTTAAATACATCTGTGAAATATTTGGTTAATTGACAGGTTTATTTTTACAACACCTGGTGGAGTAAATGTGTTAGGCCATTAACATTGTTGTACATATTATGAGAATTTGGTGACGGGACTTCATTGATCATACAGTATATGTTTAAGGGCCTAGTGGGTAAAGGAGGAGGATTGCTGGTTCTAATTCTTGCTCGAATTTCCAAAACTCCAAAACCAGTCTGGTGTTAATTACTTGTCTTTTTTCTGTTGGGGTGTATGCAGAGAGTAATTGCTTCTGGGTCAATGGTGCCCAAACTATGGTATGTACCACTATAGTACTTGGACCTCCTCTATTGGTACATGGGGAAATCTGATTTGTTTGTCTTATTCAAAGACAAACTTATCTTATTCAAATAGTGATGCTAACAAGTAGATATATTGAAGGTGGTGGTGTATATTATTTGAATATTCTTATTAGGAATAAATTCTCCTCTTGGTTTGCTATGCTAAGCTTAACTTGGTTAGCCATTGCTGTTGTATTTTAATGTTGATTATACTGCTGGTACTATATATTACTGCTGGACAAATATTTCTGGAGGTAATGATCTGTGACAACCAATTTGACAACCAATACCTGAGGGAACTTCGAGTATTGAAATAAGCTTCAAATTTGAATCTTTCTGATCTTCTACTGACATTTTATCAATAGCCGTCTGTTTCACCAGTAATTCAGCTTTTTGTTGCCGTGGCAAATGCAAAAGAAAAACACCCTGCTAGCACATGATAGTATTATGTTTTTTTCCTGTGGTAGTCATGCTGTCAGCCATGTGATTCACAGTATGTGCTAATGTGTGGATGGGCTATGCCCTGCAAACAGCACCACACCGGTAAGAGATAGCATCCGGGGCTCTCCTCTGTTTGACATGACTCATTTGCAGTGGGAGTGGGGGGTTGTTCCACCCTGCCCACTGACTGTAATCTGCCGGTGAAACTATGAAGTGAAGTTTAACCAATAAATGTGGGTGTTGCAATGAATGGAATTCCAGTAAATTTACGCAGGGAGTGCAAAGAACAGTCAAAACTGTAAATATTTTAAGCATCGAACTTTCTGCCTTATCTCAGAGACAGAACTGTTTGCCACATAACATGACAGGCATTCGATGAGGTTCTCCTGGGTCAAACATACTAGTTCTGCAAAATGTCATAAAAAAATCACATTCCTCACAGTAAATTCCAGCCTTGTCAGATGGATGGCATATTCTCCCCACCATCAACAGGCTGGTCAAGCGACATTAAGAGGCGTCCAACCTCAGATAACCCCTGTCAGTGTTCACTCGCAATTCTTCACCACTTATCTCACACTTCCTAGTTGCCTCTGCTGGTGTTTCTCACAGTAACATGAAAAAGGAGCGCTTTTGTACTGTGCTTGTGTCCACACGCAGACACATGGACGAAAGGGACAGTAACAAGACCAGATGACAGCCCCGAAGTGCTGCTTTGACTGAGAGCTTTGTGGTGGCGCACTAAACAAAGTATGTGACATTCTAAGGCTGAGCTGTGCAGACATAGCTCTTTGTCTGTTGTGAGTGTTCTGTGGCATGATGCTTATATCCCTTCACCAGTTTTATACTGCTGTTTAAATTAAATTAAATTCATGTTAAGTCAATATTCAAAGCTGTGTTTTGGTAAACAGTAGAGCATTACAGTGACGGGTGGATGAGAACTCTTGTAAAAGCAGCATCGCGGCTCTGTGCTCACCATTCCCATCCCTTATATGTCAATGTTTGTAAAAGCCTGACAATCATTGGGATGAGTGTACATGGGTGTATTACGTTCACTGCATTTATGAACTGAAACCAAACTCACTGTGGAGAGAGCCAGCAAACATTCAGAGTGAGATTCCGAATAATGTTACATCTGGAATTGTCTTGGGTTTCAATCCCATCGTAAAAGACGGCAGAATTAATCTCCATGTTACCCAGCAGACGGTGAGAGGTCATACCAGAGCCAAAGATAGGCCCTGAGCCAGAGGGGAGTGAGCGTGGAGAGTAGATGTGATTGAGTTACTGTAACTCCAGCCGCATACCAGCACAGTGGAGAGTGTTAAAACAGATGCTATTAGCGCAGCAGATGCTGTTATTTTTTCCACCAGTACATTTCCTGCTCATATCTGTAAAATCAAGAAACATTTGTATGAAAAAATGCTGCAAATGGAACACAGACTTTGACTATTGTTTAACTTGATGGCATTAAATTGAATTTAAACTGCAATGAGAGAGTGTCTCATACTCATGAAAGTCTTTGCTCAGTCTTTGAGTCAACTCATTAGGATGTATTAGTCTGCTATAAGTGTGCTGATGTGCTGTGATAAGTAATAGCTTCCCTACTACAGGGTGACTGTCCCTAGTTTATTTCCCAGTTGATCCACTATCAAATCCAGGTTAATGTGAATATTCAAAGCTTGTACAAAGATACAAAGATTTTTAAAGAAAAGTTGGTATACCTTAGATGACTAACAGAGTCACAATTACATTTTTATGTAACTTAAAAATACATTTGAAGCATCCAAATAGTATTCGTTTTTTAAATTTAGACAGAGCCTGAAGGCATGACTAATATTAACACAAATGGCAAGAATGGAACAGACAGAACGGCTGAAAGAGATGTGAAATGTAAATACAGTCTGTTTGTTTGTGTGCTGATAACATTTGGTCCACTCTCAACTTTTGTCTTGTCATCACACTTTAATCAGACTCAAAGTTGAGTGGTGACAACAGAGAAGTAAACCGAGCCCCAGCCACTGAAATACATTAAATACACATTGTGAACACAGATGCCCTGATGCGTGAGCAAGGTTGAGATAAGAAAACAAGGGTTTGGTAGTTTTCTGCATCATTGATGTAAAGTATAATAAGGGAATAGAGACTGTATAGCGATTGTAGTATCAACAGCTCTAAAACATATGTAGGTATGTACTGTGTGAATACATATACATATATGGTTAAAGAACGTTAAAGAAGTGACCTTTAACTTTCTTTAACCAGAGTGACTCTGAGTTAGGTGCCCGAGTTTTCATGTAGTAGATTTAGTGGCCGATGTATGGACTTTGGTCAGATTCAAAAATGTGGGGGTGGAGGGGGTGGAGTGTGTGGAGGTGTGAATGTGGAGGGGTTGATATGGACTGGATTAAGGTTACATTGAGTATATATATATATATACACACATATATATATATATATATATATATATATATAACCATGTGCAGAACAATCAGTAGAAAGTCTCCTTTAACACAGTCTCTGTGTAGTATATGTATTTGGCAGTTGGTTTGGAAAATCACAAAGAATATTAACAGTCTGCCCCCAGCTTCCTTTATAAAGCTTGAAGAAGTAACCAGACTGATTGCTCAATGATTCCTTCTTCGTTTCTTTTCCTATTCTCTGTTGCCCTCGATCAATGACACAACGACTAAACAGCCCACCAGAAGAGGAATAAAAAGTTGGAATAATGACATACTGTACATCTAGAAACCACAGTAAGACATGGTTTCTATGAATGATAGGCGTCCTCTTTAAACTGAGTACAGATAGATTTTACACATACCACGTGGTAGAGTTATATTTCACTAAACAAACCACAAGAGTTCTGACAACATTTAATTAACATATTTTTACACAACATGTCACATATGTCAGGTGAGAGATAAATCTCTGATTCTGGCATAAAAGTAAATCCATCCTGCATTAAAAATGTTTTAATGTATTGCATAGTATGATGGTAAATGTAGTAATTATCTATTAAGATATTTGAAAGCGTGGTCAATTTATTTTACAGTTTTGTGTTCACATTGTTCGCAGTTGATGTATGCTGATATACAGCATGTTTTGATGTTAAGTTTAGAATAATTAATTCATAGCAAAAAGATGACAAATACCACTGTACATAAACATTTAACAGTATGATAATACAAGCATTTTGCATATTTTGCAAAAATTGAAATTCAAAGTTGCATTGGAGTAAGAACTCACTGACCAACATGACTCTCAACTGATCTGTAAGCAGCTTTCCAGCGTGGTATGGTGGGTTGTAAAAAACACAAAATAACACAGGACACAGGTCATCTATAACAAGAAAGCATGTTAAAAATAAACTGCCAATATGTTTGGACTGCGGGAAGAATTCCAGAGTACATTCTCCATATGCGGGGGTGGTGGAGGAGGTCAAATCAACCTATTTGTGGCACATCCAGAGGGAACCATGACCGCAAACGAAACATGAGAGACGGAGTAGCAGGGCTTCATTTCATTTAAGTGAACTCTGTTTTTTGTGGATGCATATTTCTGAGTTGTGGGCCAGGGAGTGGAAAACAAAAGTGGGGAAAATGAGACAGACTTTGCTGTCTATCAGTACGTGTAATTATAAGGTGTTGAGAGCAAGAAGGCTTTTGATGTGAATTTGACAACACAGGCTCTTTCTTTGTACTATGCATGGCGGAGGAACGGGTCAGATACACACAGGCCGAGGAAACCATGGCAGAGACCTCCTGCCACTGACATGCTCCTGAGGTCTGTAGTCAAACACAATGGTGTTTGCATAGCAGAGAAGAGTGTTGTAAAACATCACACCTAAATCAAAGTGCAAGTAACATACACACAAACACACAGTGAGTGGTTTATCTTCTTGTATAGTGAAACTCTTGTATATCTGTCCACGAGCTGATATTTTGACTTCAGCTTTACAGTCACTGACAGGATTAGGTTGAAGCCGGTTTTCATGATAGATTCTAGGTAAACATAGATGTTAAAAATTCCACATGGCAGACTCATTGTATCCCTCTGATCAGTATGCCAGTCCGGACTTACATTTGTCTCCAACCTTCATTTACATTGTCTGAAGACTCTTACTGGAATTAAGACATATTTTAAAAAATGCAACAATTCTGGCTTAGTGTTCACAGTCATATCCCCCTATTTCCCATCTGCAGGGTGTTATAAATGTATTTGAAATGCATGAAGTTTAATGTACTGACAGTTTGCGTTATTGGTTTTTTTTTCTGTTTTTATGTAAATCATGTGAATTTGATCAAAATTGCCTTGTAGCCTAGGCCTGGAGACATTAAACGGTTAAATTAAATTAAGGAAAAAAATGCCCACAAGTCAGCAGTTTTTCTGCGTCCCTTTATCATTTCTGCTGCCTCTAAGAATATAGTTTAGGCAGTCTTCACTGTATTTGTGGTTGCCATAGTAGTGGTCAGCATTAGATACCCTTTATTTTTGTTTTACTTTATGAAGAAAATGTTCTTCAACTTAAATACCTTTAACTAATGCAGTGAGACGGTTGTGCATGTGATTGTTCTGAGCAGCTTTGTTGATTTGAGAAAAGCAGTAAAACCAAAGGTTATGCAAGAGGTGTAGTAGTCAAAGGGTTGGGCAAAGGAGTGTAATAGTAGTATTTACAGTCCAAGTAGATCTTTGTGTACACAGTTTCTTCAAGCCCTGAAAAGTGTAAAACGGATAGGAGGAAATTAAAAAGAGTAAGTAAATTGGAATCAAACAGGATTCTGAAATCTGAATATTCATATTACTCCATATTCATGGAATCAAGCGAGGATCATCTTTCTTTTGTTTCACTGGAACAAGACGAGGCAATAGACTGGAGAGTAGAAGGCAACAAGGCTAAAGTGAGGGTGTGAGGTTGAAAACATAACTAAATATTTGTTTCAACAGCTCCTCCCATGTATGTATGTGTGTGTGTAGTGAGTAATCTACCACACCAGCCATTAAACAGGGATGGGGAAGACACAAAAGACATTTACATTCCGTATATGTACAAACAGTAAACCGCAGGCACATGTGGTGTTGTGCCAATGAATCAAATCTCAGTCTCTCACATGTATCTGTTTTCCTAAGGTGGTTTTCAGGTCATTTGAAGGCCTGCAGACACGTGTATTAGTGTGTAGTCAGAGCAAATCCATCCACTTTGTTAGAGAGATGTGTTTATTCGACTGTTAAAGCAGTAAACTTAAATTACTTTGAGTTCTCCACTGGTCTGTGACTAGTAATTGGCAATTTTCTTGTAAAATAATTAAACATAGCCAGGCTAGGAATTGTTACCTTGGACACTTACTGGTCACTAGAATAAGTACCTCTATGTAAACCAAGTTGGACCATTTTATCTACAAACATTACCAGGTAAACTAAACCAGCAACAACCTTATCAAAAAAACAACAACAAAAAACTCAAAACAGGAGAACAGTGACAGCACATGGTGGAGGATGTATACTGATACTGATGTATTACAGTTTAAGACAGCAGGAGATGGCCAATTTGGGAGAAGTTTTGCCTCACCATGTTCATGTCCTAACAACAATGAAGACTCATTACACAAGACTTTTCCAATCTTTTATTTTGGGAAGTTCCCAGTATTTCAGCAGTATTTTAAGCATTTAGACCAGCTCGTCTAACAATCAGCAATCACTCAGGTTTAAAAGTCATCACCATTCTAACCTCTGCTAATATTTAGTTTAAACATCAACAGGTTGTCACGACCATGTCTTCATCTGCCCATGCAATGACGTGGTGACTCGTGCAAGGTTCACATAAATATTTGCAGTTACCAAATAATTGACATGGTAACAACGTGACACATTGCTGTTTTATTATCTTTTTTTTATTATTACATACATACATATTGTATTATAGATAATTTTGATATATGTTTAATTAAATACACATATAGATAAAATAAAAACCACAACAATTTCTTCATAAATACTTTTGTTAACCTTTTATATGTATTGAAAATTTCTCAGGTTTTCGGTGACAGTAGTCAAAATAAGGTCAATCAACTATTAGACTACCATAATAGTGCTTACAATTCAAACTTACCATTTCAGTTCAACCACACATTATCATGCCTTTAATAATTATTTTCTAAATTTTAACTTCAATTAGGTGTAGCCTACTAGACGGGGCATGCTGGGAAAACTTTTGCGAAGACTCATACACTTCTCCTGTTCCAGGAACAGAGAGTTGGCCTTGACGGACAGGTCATGTTCCAGGGTCACTTTGGTCTTCACCAGAATCTGTAATGTGCTTTCAGCCTCCATCAGCCTCTCTTGAAGTTTCTGAATAGTGTCCTCAATCTCTCTCACCTCATTCACAAGACTGAAAAGGAAAGAAAGGCAACTTGCTGTTAATTGGCAGGAAGCAGCAGAGAAAGAAATGAGGAATAGAGGAAACAAGCCTGTTAGACTTTATGGATTACAGGGAAGTCATTTTTCTTTTAGTCATCTTCGGCAGATTAAAACCAGAACCTCTGAAAGTTTGAAGGCATATGTGCTTGAATTTCCTTATTAAAAACACTTAGAACTGTACCAAATAAAATCCTTTCAGCCACATTATATGGGACAAAATTTAAAACTATATAGATCGTTATAAAATTGTGTTTTTCTGCAAACAATCATATTTATTGTGTGTTTGTTTGTTTGTTTTTAAGTAGCAGCTTATGTTGAATGTTCTTCAGAGAAAATGTTTTGGCAGACTTGCAGTGCATTCAAAACATTTTTTGATATTTTTCAGAAACCTAAAAAAAAATAATAGCAGATGGTTAAAATGTATCAGTTGTTGAGAAATGGTTGAAGATTAGTTTATGTGATATTAATATTTGGCTGTTACCATGTGATGTGTATTTACATTTTCCTGGCTCAAACCTGCACAGCTACCTGTGGTGTGGGTTGTCCCTGCAGAGTTCAATGTTAGGCCTGCGGGTTCTCTCCTCCAGCCTTGTTTGAGCTACTTTTAGTGGGGACTGTTTGTCCCTCAGGGCTTTCTTCAGTGATTCAATCAGCATCTCCGTTTGGAAAATTCCCTGCAGAGTCTGGAAGATAAGAAGCATTTGCAAAAGTGTATTGGTTTGTTGTTGAGAGAGAAAGGTTACAAAGCATTTTCTGCTTGTTGCATTGTGCTCTCTCTGGTGATGATCAAGAAGAAAAACAAAGGACTATGCAGAAAAAAAGAGCAAGTATCGATTAGACACTTGAATACAGGTCTGCACAGCAGTCTGCTTCCACTTTGTCTACAACCATTTGATGTAATTTAATTCCTGAGAATCCCTGCTTCTTAAAGCGGCCAGTAACTCAGGTTTATGGAGGACGATGTGTCTCATATTACAGATGCTGTCAATGTTGTAACCCATGTTACAGCTGATGAGAGATTTTGTTTGTTTTGGATGTTTGCATGAAAAAGTGTTACAAATTGCAGGGCAGCTCAGCTTTACTTTGCTAGATTATTAACCTCACAGCAACATTCTCAAAAGTCATTTTTGTGTGTTGAAGTGGTGACCTTAGCCAGGTGTGTGTGCAGGCTGTTTTTGGCATCAGATGTCTCCGATATGCGATTGGTGAAGGCTACGTTGACACTATTGAACTGGTTCCACATCTCATTGGAGGTGGTGTTTAACAGGACTTCTATCTCATCCCTGAGTTTGTGGGAGGCAGCGCGTTGACTTTGGGAAAGTAGGATGTTATCGTCTGTGAACTTGGACCAAGATTCTGGTAGAGAGAGTCTATAAAGGGAAAAGATGTTTACAATGTGTGTGAGCATTGGTTATTCAAAACACCCAATTATTGCATTGCAATATTAAGTCAATCAAAAAAAGAAAACAAAAACCTACTATACAGCACCATATATATATAGTAAACATAGTGTATATATATATATATATATATATGTGTATATATATATATATATATATACACATATATATATATATATATATATATGTGTATATATATATATATATATATATGTGTATATATATATATATATATATATGTGTATATATATATATATATATATATGTGTATATATATATATATATATATATATACTGTACTGTATATGTAGATACTTTTTTGCCCATTAAAAAAAGGAAGAAGACACAGACTTTTTATACATCGTCAATGTGCATTAAATTTCTTTACAAAGAAATGGTCCTCTGCTATTACTGCTTTGAACCTATCCATAAAACAGGATCAGTGGGCTACAATGTACTGTACCGAGGAGCACAACTGGGTTGGTTGATTAAGTTTTGAAAAAAAAGGATGTACAAGGATGTACTCAGGATGTACACTTATTGCTGTATTTGTTGACACAGAAACATACTCACGAAGGGTCTAGTCTTTCAATTCCTCTGTAGTAGCCGATGCCGTCTGATGTGTTCCTCAGATGGTGACACCTGTCATCAATCCTTTGAGCTGTCACTTTATCACTCATGTCTCTCTCCAGTTCATGCTGGGCTGCTCTGTTTGACCTGAGGGTCCCCACAACAGGTTTGTCACCAAAAAAGCAACAAAATACAAACCCACTGCATGAAGTAGCTTTTGTATTTCTTTTTTTGACTTACGCTAGCTGAGCGATGGCTCTGTCCAGATGTCGCCTCATTCTTTCTTGACATGACCTGATCACTTCCACTTCCTTTCATCACAGCAGGTAAGTGTTATATTAGTAAAATAGCTTGTGTATTTTTGATAAGGGAGTGTGTGTTATAAGATTACTCTGCTGCTGTGATTTCACCTTCATGAGGTCTTTTTCTACATCGTCATGTACCAGATCAATGGACATCCGCTTCTCTCTGTGGTACAAACACTCTTGAGACACCTATTGACAAAGTGGTTGTGACTCACAACAAGTACAGACTGTTTTGTTATTTGATTTGATTTGATGACTTTTGAAACTCCTTCACTGTGACTTTCAGACAGACATGTTGTCATTTAAACACAATGTTATGCCCATTATGCCTTAAAGCCTTTGTTGAGAATTGATGGCCCTGTGCAATCCATCAGCTGCTTTCTTCAGCTTCAGTTGCCTGGAGGAGCCTCCCAGAAGGTCCACTGCCATATGATCTTAGCTCAGATAGGTGCCTGTGTCATCAGATCTTTATCTAGATTAACAACTGTGAGGGGAAATGGATGACCAGACACAGGCTAACGATGGTGATCTAATTAGGAGTCTGACCCAGTGGAGGCACAGCTACAGTTTAAAGTGTTGGGAAGGGACCATATAGATACTGTTGCTACAACCAAAACCAGAAACCTTAGTCAAACTGTTCCACAAACAGATACTGTGATGGCACTGGTTACATGATATGGTAGAGTTAAACTGAATTGAGTGTTAACAATTCAGTGTTATTTATTGAAAATAATCTATTGCAAAATTATAATAAAACATGACATATTTCAGATATTACCTGTTTAATAAGGCAAAATTAAATCCTCTCCACACTCACCTGAAGGGGGCCCTCAGTTTCTGCCAAGGCTCTCTCCAGCCTCCTCTTGACCTCAGTAAGAGCTGCTATCTCTGTTATCATGTTTTCAATCTCGTGGGTCAGCTCAGACTTCCAGAAGACAATATTATTGAGTCTCTCACCAATGTTCTTACTGCTATTTTCCTGGGTTCGCCTGGTCAACTGCTCCTTGTCCTGCATCAGCCTAATGGTGTCTCTCCTCAGCCTCTCAGCACTCTTTCGAGACGATTCGGACTCCCTGTAGTTGTTTTGGTTGGATTTGTACCACTCTTCTGGGGTGAAGCGGGTGCTCAGTATTGTCCTATTTGATGGGTAGAACATGGTATTGGCTCGAACCAGCTCAAGATTGTCTCGTTGCATAGAAGCAGAAGTTGGGACGTTGCAGCAGTTCCTGAAATAGCTGCTGGTCTTCCACAGGTTGGCACCAGGATTCATAGTGTTCCGGTAGCTGGATGCCATGGTGGAAATGGCAGGAAGGAAGTGACTGGTTTTTGGCCTTGCATATGTGGATGTCCGTGTGGATCCAATCAGCTCCATTTCTGGCTCTCAACTGCTTTCAAAATTTAAAAAAACGAAAATTAGTTATCAAGTACAATGTAAAGACATGTTGAATAGAATACTCAAGAGATCAAGAGAACCTTTCTTCAAGCAGCACACTACCTCTGAGTTCTGTCTACCTGGAAATGAGCTCAAGAAGACTCTAAAGGTAACTGGGATGCATAATAGATGAGCAAGTTTGCAAGTAATCTGTTCTGCCAGCCAATGGTGGAGCACAATACTGGACCGTCCAAGATTTCTGTTGACACAGCAGCAGTTGCTATGGGTTACTTCAACACCCTGCCTGGGAATTTCAAATTAGCAGTGACTAGGTGCTTTTCCCTCTTAAAGTAATTATAATAATGTGCTTTCAGTCGCTGTGGGATTTTTCTTCTTCTGTTATTTCCAAAGAAGCACTAATTGTGCGTTAAGACATTATATTGAGATTGAGAGTGGTGACTGTAATGTAGAGCTCACTTGAATCTGTTTACCTTCAATGATAGGTGGGTTTTCTGTTACATAAAACTTTGCACCACATTAAAATCAAGTCAGTTATGTATTGTATTTGTATTTTTGACAATAATTGTTCTACTTTGTATTTATTTTAGGTCTAATCTTTAAAGCAGTCTTTAAAGCAAAGAAAGCTATGGTCGTTCCCCAGGCCGCATCAAATAGCTGTCATCCTGAGAACCATGCCGTCTGTATGAATTACAGTCACCTGTTAAATGATTCACAGCACAGGAAGCATCCACACAAGCCCCTGTAGCACAGAATAATAATCTGTGTTGTGTTACCTACCTTTGGAAATGAGGATCGTTTACACTAATCTGCTCTGAAGAGCCGAGGCTGGACAGATGATAGCCTGGTGTCAGCCGTCCTGTAGCCAGGAGTTACTCAGCTGTTCTGTTGTTATCACCTGACTTAATTCAATGTATATAACCAGATGTTTGTTTAATTGTGTCTGCTCTGCACAGGCTGTTGGCTAATCAACCAAGAGATTAACACGTATATTAGTTAGTTTACAACAGTGATAATGTACAGTTATGTCAACACTTGATTATGCAGGGTTTGATTAAAATAGTTTACACGTTCTTTGTCTTTCTGGCACCTGTTGTTCGTGAACACAGTCCATTAGTCAGATACAGCCCCAATATATCATTGCCATAATAGCACATCACATTATTCATGGAACCCAGGCATCCCCACTCCACCCTGCCTCCTCCTACCACTCCAACTGTTGAGTGATTTCAGGGTTTATGTGTTTTTTCTTTCTCACAAAGATAGGACAGTGATAAGAACTATCTAATAACTTGAACCTCATAAGTGATGTCTACAACCATGGGTACATTTCTTTTGTGTTCAAATAGACTACAGTCGTTAGTCAGTCAGTCATGTTTTAGGTCATTATCTGCATTGGTATTTCTCTCTGCCTGGGATCATTTACACAGGTCTTACCATGTGACAGCTCCACAAAAACTTGGAGTGAGTCTACTATTGTCATGAACATAAATGTTTAGATTTAGAATAGTATGACATGTCATCGCTCCACCCCTGCATGTTTAAGCATCACTTAACATGGCTAAGTTGCAGCCACACGTGCCTCTGTCATCCTGACCTCAGTTCCTAAAAATACACATCAGAAAAGCATGAATCCCTGCCCTTGTATGAAATTCCTTCCTACTAGTGTCCACTGGAAAGTGCTTCCTAGTCAACTCCCCACTGACCTCAGAATGTGATGGAAATGTTAGAGGGGCCTATATATACTCATGGCCGTGTGGCCCATGAGAGTATGTTGTGAATTGCTGCATAGTGGAAATGTCTGAGGGAGCAAACACGACGTCTGTGTCATTTACAGTTTGACCCACAGCTGATCAGTGCTACTATAATGAAAGGGGAAATAAACATTTAAAAAAAGAGAGTTTACTGTAAATATGGATTCAAGTGTCAAACTGCCCTGTAATCAACAGACTCTGGCCAATTTCCCTTCAGCTGAGCCATTGACCATTTGGCCACCTTTTAACATAATAGAATAATGAGTGTTGCTGTGCCATGTCTTGGAGCTCATAGATTAGAATTTCACTGATTATTAAGTTAGAAAGTCCTTTTGAACTTCAAAATAAGACACAGCATAAATTATAGTTATAGAACAAATACTTTTGTACATCTTTCAGTGTTTTAAGTTATCTGTGGCATACATATATATTTTTAAATTATTGTATTTATTAAAATAAAATATGAGCATCATGAGTTGCAGTTAATCACCAGCTCTTCATTTGAATCTCATTTGACACTGACTGTGCTGATGACACATTCTTTTTTTTAAATCCTAGCCACAGCTGCCTCATTGCTCTTGTCTGCATGCTGTTGTAGCTTCATTAGCTAAAATATAACTCTTTATGTTTTAGAATACTGGCCATCAATACCACCTTCATGAATAGTGGATGGAGCAGTCCATGAGGAGGGCAGCCACACCTGGTGAAGAAACACAGGGGCAGGAAATGGACCATTAGTTCTGCTGACAGCATTGAGACCCCCCACTGAGCTCACGGTGAGTCCATGCGAGTAAATCAGAAGAGCCTCATTTGCTCTTCTGCGGTAACATGAGAAGTACTGCTGTTTGATTGTGTACCGGTAGCCATGACAGACAATGGGAATCTATCCTTTATTCATTGTCCAGTATACTGTCCAATGCTTTTCTAATTTACTGCTTTAGAGTACATTTCTTTGGGCAAAAATTCAAAAAGTACAGTTGTAGACAAAAAGTGGTGCCTTTGTGTTCATCATACCGATATCTAATCAGTTTCATGAAATTTAATTTCATTTGAAAAAAAAACAAACAAAATCAGTTGAGTGCTGAAAACAAGTTAGTGGGCATTTGGGCTCAACGTTGATTTACATCAACAATGCAGTTCTTTTCTGAACAGCTCAAGTTTAAAGATTTTGTGGCATGAATTCATTTCTTTTTCTTGTAGTGTCCATCCATGAAACACTCCATTACACTGCTTTTATTAATGCTTGCCCACCCCCCACCACAGTCTGTTTCTAAACTTCTATGCTTACCAAAAAGTGTGTTCTAATCTTAGCTCCCACTATTAATAGCAGACAGTAGCATTTTTAGTTATAACATAACATTCTTATAACAGAATCTACAACATGTTTTTTTATTCTAAGCAAGCGTCTAAGGAAACTACCATGGGTCTATTCTTTGTACATATTTGTTGAGAGTAAATGGAAACTGTTGTGCAGCCTTGTGAGACAGATAATGGCCAGTCAACTCTATTATATTACCTCCACAAAGAAGGCAAATGGATTTTGTATTAGTCGGAGGAAGCAGCCTCCAGACAGACAGTGTGGCAGCAGAGACTGTTTGTTTACAGTTTTGTTTGGGTTTTCAAGTGTCAACCACACTGACGAAGCACCAGGATGAGAAAACACAGATTTAGCCGTCCTTCATTTTGTTCACCATGTCAACAAAATGTCCACTATTTATCAGCTGTCATTTGTTTCCCTTTGTTACCACTAAAAGTTAGATATGGCTGCTGCTGGTTAGAGAGCTGTCAGAGCTCCAGTTCCTTATATACAGTAGCTGCCTGTTGTAGTGCACTACAGTATAGGTATTCATTCTCTGTGTGTTACTAGTTTAATAGATTGAGTGAAAGACAGGATTAATATCATATTTGTTCAGTAAGATTTTGAGATTTAGGTTTGTTATTCGAAATGCTTGTTGGTCTTTTAAGGAGAAGAAGGAAATGGTATTGATTCATAGATTTTTACAATAGTTTTATAATAATTTTGTTATCATAATTGTTGGCCTCATAATCGTAATTGAATTGATTTGTGAAGTACTCGGAGATTTCATCCTGACAATTTTTTAGAACAGTTTTCTACAAAATATGATAATGTCTGGTGCAGCAGACAGAGGTGTGTGCCTGATGGAATGGCTGACAGTCATGTGTTGGTCAGGAGTAGGCCTAAGTGTCTGACAGGACAGGCAAGAACTGGATGGACTCAGGTCACCCCTAACCAACCCACTCGGTGATCAAGGGCTCCCAGTCGCTGACTTTCAGAGTGGGACGAGGTGGCCGTGAATGCAGGGCTTTGTCCAGTCCATGGTCATCACATTCCACTGGAGCCACTCTGTGGCGTGCAGCAGAGCGTAGGAGAGGGCAGGACAGGGTAGGGCAGGGGACGGGTGGGGTGGCATAGAGATGAAATATTGTACAGAAACTGTCTCTCATATCATATCAATGTGCAACATGATGACCATCTCACGGATGCCTGCAGATCTGTGCCCTGCATCTAGAGAAGGTAGATTGCATACATGCCTAGCTGACTCTTTCTGCCAACATCTTCAGCCTGAAACCATGATCAGCGCCAGGGCTGTTGCCCTTTTTAAAAGCCCTTTTACTTCTTATTTTCTGCAAAACAGCACCCCCATTGGTCAGTCACCGTCAATGCTTTGCTCTTCTGTAACTTGAAACCTTCTCCCTGCACTAATGGCCACTGGATGCTTTATTCTCTGGCCTGGAAGGTATGAGTCATCAGCACTGACATTGTATTTGTTAATGATACATAGAAATCCCTCCAACGAGAGTGCATCTGCACTGCTGCTGAATGGTTATTTTCCATAAACACCAACAGCGATCTAATAAGTTGCTTCACTTAGGTTTCTAAAGGAGTGAGTAATTGTGTTCACATGTCATTACCAGCCTGTTGCAGAGAAGTCAGCCTATTTTTGGGAACAAAAAAGTTCATAAAGGGGAGAGAGGTCTATTTTTTCCATGCTGACTCAGGAGTTGAATTATTATTCACCCTGGGCGCGCATGCTGCTCTCTCTCTCTCTCTTTCTCTCTCTCTCACTCTCTCTCTATCTCTCTCTCTCTCTCTCTCTCTCTCACATACCTCCACCCCAAATTAAGGAAAATGCAGCTTGTGTCTGTCATCTGAACAAGACAGGAAAGGGGAATATGAATTACAAAAAACCTCAGCTGGGTTCACACCGTGACTCACACTCACGCAAGTAACAGTCAGATGAATTTCTGGAGCTTTAATCATGAGGAAAGAACCTAACATTCCCCATGTCACTGCAACTTGGGAGCAATGGTGTGAGATGAGACATGTTGAGCATGTGGCCCAACGATGTTCGGTATGAACTGCAGTGAACCCTACAGAGCAGAGACAAAGGAAAGCTAACAAGTACTAATTCCTAGGCTACCTTTTTACTTTTACCTAAACAACATTTCCTTCAATCACTCCTTAACTGTTCCATTTGCTGTGGCTCTCTTAATAGTTCTCTTCTTGAAAAAAAAACAACCAGGTCGTAGTAAATGTCCTTTAACACAAAGAGGTGTCTGTCAACACTGATGGGAGACCATTCACAGCTGGATCTTGGCAGCTTGGGAACAAGGGTTGGAACTGGAACTGGGACGAGGGCTGTTGGGTCCAGATGGACTCTGTGACTGTGACCATTTCTCCCACATGATTAACAGCTTTCCAAACACACACATTGTTGTCTCTAAGGGGAGAGTCTTGCAACTGAAGGCAAAGCGGCTTCCCTTTTCCATCATGGCATGAATGTCCTGGAGTTTGTGCTGATGTCTTTATAAGGAAGGCCTAAAGTTTGGGGTGTTTTTTCTTTTTTGAATTGCAAGTTGTTTCAGCATTTAATCTTGATGTCAGCAAAGTATGTGAGCCTGGGCAGATGTAGCAGAAGGAATTATCATGGCTGTTGTATTTGGTTAATGATGTGTGCATTTTGTCTTTGCATCCAATCAAAGTCACAGTGCATCAAGTAAGATATCAAATTAATTCAATAGTATGTTCACGCGTCAGGCATTAAGAGAAGAAGCTCCCTGCTTTACTCTAACCCTGTTGCCATATAACTCATTCAAACATATGAATTATGTATTCACTGTTTTTTCGGCTTTACTCGCAGGCTTTCTAAATTCTTTTCTGGTAGATCACGCTCCCCAAACAAAAGGCCAAGCAAGATTCAGTTTTACCGCTACATGGCGGAGGATGGCGTCTACAACCAAGGCGTTTTTGTTTAGAGGCATTTTCTAACCCCCACTGCCCTCCCTCTCCTTCTAAAATGCCAAAGGCGTCTGGTGTAGAGCTCCTCACAAGCTTTCAAATTGTTCTCTTTTTCCCCCCAAAAAATTGGACTGATTTATAATAGGGCTATTGTCTGTTGTGGATGTGAGACAAATATTTTTTGTCTCTTTTTTTTACTAGATTCTGAGATGGATGTAGAAAGATCTCCTAATTTAGTGCTGGAAGTGTTTATCAAACTGTGAGATAGTGTCCTGGCATCCATTCAACAGAGTTGCTAAGGTATCATAATAATTGCAGGAGGTATGTGACAATTATGGGCTTCATGGTTCCTTCTTTTGGCACCACACAGCGAGCTGAGCTGTAAAAATGTCTCTGTGGAACTCCTAGTGGCGGGTTCTTTAGCGATTAATCTTCACTCTGACACCCCCCCCTCCCCCCACTGCCCCCTCCTAACTCAACATTCTATACCAACCTCCGTTACCATTCCCTCTGATTGCCGTCACTGCTGTGTGTGTATGTGCCCACATGTCAGGTGTATGTGCCACGTGAGGGGTGGCACGAGAAGCTGCCAGCTCCTGCTTGGCTCTGATGGGTCTGCAACAACTATATGCCCTCACCCGACATGTTGCAGCAGCTGGGAATGCATATTGACCTCAGTAGGCGCAGCCAGGGTTGGAAAAAGTGAGGTCAAGAGAAACAGCAGATCTGTTGCCCTGTGCCTAGAAGTCAGAGAGCAGGGAGGTAAAGTGGACACCTTCCAGATATGTCACAGATTTTGTTGCACTATAGAAACAGATAGGATGTTTCTTCAAAATAAGTGAGTGCCAGAAATGCAAGGTGTTTGTAGAACTGTGAGTTTCTTAACAAACATTTTTATGTTCTAAGAAACGGTGTCTGAATGGCACTTGATACTTTTTGTGACTTTATGTGTGATCACGTGTGTATCTGTGTCTGTTTGTAGCACTAATGCCTGCAGTTAACGTTTGGTTGTTATGCATAGTTTATTTCTAGTGCGGTGTCTGTGGTGACCACCCCAGTCCTGTGACCACACTGCATGTTGCACTTTTAGTGTTCTATCTCTCCTCTCTATCTCTCTCTCTCTCTTTCTCTCTCTCTCTGTCTCTCTCTCTTTCTCTCCCTCTCTCACTCACTCTCTCTCTTTCTCTCTCTCTCTCACTCTCTCACTCACTCTCACTCACTCTTGTCCTGCCTACCACATGCCCACATATTTGACAGTGTCTACTGAGGACAGCAGGGCACAGCTGCATGTGGGTCTGAATTTCACCCCTGCTCATGTTGTAAGGACTATCGGTGATGTCTGAATTCATGCTGTGTCTATGGTGAAATAAAAAAGTAAATAAGGGAATGGTCCTTCATGATTGGGCAGATAGTACCAAGCATTTATTTTCCCATCTAAGTCCACAGATGACTTAAGCTGATGTAGATCAGAGGAGAAAAAGAAAACTTTTTTTTGCTGTTGTTTGGAAGAGGACA